TAAAGTTAAACTAAGGGTTAACCTCAGCAATAGGGCGGGGATGTATTTTAAAAGGCTACTAATTAATCTAACTGGCACATTTAAGCAATCGAAGTGATACGCCAGATCCAAAGCAGTTCAGAACCAACGTAGATGAAACTTGCTTGGAAGCCGTTTCCTAATAAATTCAGTCAGGTTCTCCGAGAGTCCGCCCCGATCATTTTCGTGGTTTAACCCGGGGGCAGCGTGATTTTCCAAACGATTGATAAGAAATGGGAATTTTGCGCTAAATTCTGAAGAGGATGCCTAATTTCGAGTTCAGACCTCAATCCTGCACCTAATATGCCTGGAAGTTAGCGCAAGGCCACCCGTATGACAGGGGGTGGTTCCTATTCCCCTGCCCCACAGGCGGACTTACTGAAATTCGTGCTGTCGTCCGCAGCCAGATCCCTATGCCTTTCCGAGTACGATTTGCGCACTTTGAAATACAACAGATGGATATTATCGTAGTCAGTAAATTTCTATGTTGTTTAAAAATTGCAAGAGGTGTAATCGTTAATCGAAACATTTGATATAAAATTGACGTATACCCGTCTAGCAAAATTTTTCTTTCTCTCGGCAGAGTTTACTACTTATGTTGGATGTTCTAGCGAAATCCATGCAGTCGGCTTTTGACTCACAGGCATTTACTACTACCCTTGGCATTTTGCCTTATGGACACTATATTTCCCAACCCTGATTTTTCTGAAATGAGTACAAAATAATGTCCGTGTATTTGTGAAAATGGTTGACGAAAAACTATATCGCCACTCATTAACTAATTAATATTGCTAACTCACTAACCTTTGCAGTTGCCTTATCTGAAATATATTCAAGTTATTGGAGGGCAAATTATAAATTCGCATATATTACTAATCTCCACTACTTAAGGAGAGAGGTCCATGTTGGGGTTCGCATTCGTTCCGTTTTTTCCGACCGAAACTCATCTGATCTAGACAAAATGACTGTCAAGAAACATCCACAAACCCTAATATTTAAAGGAAAAACCTTAGTTATAGTTTATGTCTATGTAACAAGCATTTTGCCAGAATGAAAAATTTTCCCTTTTATAAAAATCAAAGTGAGATAATTACGTGGTTCAGTCATAATGTGAGGGATGCTTATTGGTTTAAAATAGGGTTGTAAATAAATTACGAGTGTGAAGCGGATATTTCAGATTTCGAAAAAATAGTCAAACTTCGGGTTAAAAATTACAGATCAAATTGTTCATAAAATCTGTACTTTAAGAGTAGGCGACTAATGTTTTCATCGGCCAAAACTACAGGCGTTGTGGTCACGACTTGCCATCTTACTTTGACAAATCAATAAAATCGGCCTTCGTACTATCTCTAGTAGAAAGCAAGCTAACGCTGGTTCTAATGGCTTATTAACGGTTGGAAATTCATGGGAAATTTAATACCTTTTTTAACACCCATTTATAATACCAAGACTTAGACAAAAATTACGTACTGAAACATCCATGAAAAAGGCGTACATTTGGTTTACTTCGGGCCATTTAAAGACAGAAAATATTAACTGAACTACTTACTGTCAGCCGTGATGCTCAAATCCCACACACTTCCGGGTGTCTCTGAGCAGATAAATGTGCTTATGTGTCTTTAGAGGCTGCCGTCACGATGCTCATGTGTTCACCCGGATCTCTGATTCACCTTTTAAACTATGGGGACAGTCAACAGTTACTTCCTTCCGTTGTGAGCACGCCTTACTCTGAACCGCGTCATTTTTAACTTTGTATGGTGACCTTTTCCGTATACTCGTGTATGATTCAAACAGCACCTGTATGAACAGGTATTTAACTGTCTATTCCTGCCTCCGACTACGGAACGGACGTGAAACCAAGTAGTTAGTTGTATGCAGAATGGTGTTATCGACAAAGACAAGCGAGACTGGAATGGCCATTCCTGGCTTATTAGTCGTTGTTAGCCAATCCTACCCAACCTCCAAGTGTGGAATACCCGAGGCTCGAACTCGCGACCTGTTACTTAGAAGTCGACGCTTCTAACCACTGGGCCACGAGCCGGAGACTGCAGACCTCCAGAGAATACATACTTTTGAAAGTCGCCACTAATCGTGGGAAAATTGTCCCCTGAACGTTAAACAGGGTGTTTCCACCCTAACTTTGTTCCACTTTGTTATGGGGAAACCGATGAAAATATGGAGTATGCAGGGATGCAGTAGGGTTGAGGCGTCCGAAACTGACGGGCTCCTACTGTCTGAAGTATCCAATCGCACCTTTTATTTGGAATAGTCGGGTTGGCTTCAAAATAGGACTGAACTTTGTCTGCGTAAAACTCATTGCTCTCTTTGTTGCCTTTCATACGCAAGTCCTTGACTGTTTGACTAATTCTAAACTTAACGTTTCCCTTTTCTTTTAGAGGACACACATAAAAACACCTCACCTAACATTTTCATCGGAAAGGTTGAGGAAATTAATTCAGATTAGACTAATATTCGTATTCTTGAGTTCAAGATCATTTTTAAATGCTTTGTCGCGCGCGTTTCGAATTTGGTTTCAAATTTTCGTCCTCCGAGGGGTTAATATTCTTCGAGATTTCCGCACTCTGGATGCTCCTGCAGTCAAACGGATTTTAGAAAATTGATTCACAGACAGCAATATTCGCATCGTCATCAACTTACGACACCACCTTTGCAGAACGTGGACTTCGACTCTACCAGTTCTGCATACGAGCCTAAAAAGACCAGTCTTCCAGCAAACGAAACGCTCAGAACAAAGGCTGAGTCTCACTTCTAAATTAGACTTTACCTGTACCTTTGCTTCAAAGCATTAGCTTAAATTTCTGTTAACCGTAGTGCCGTTAAATTCGACTAGGTTTCTGTTGTCTAAAGTCTCGAAGCATTCGCTTAGATTTCCGTTGCCTAAAGCTTCCCTGACATCTGAAAGCCTTAGGCCTTCTTTTGATTGTGTCTGTCTTCTGCTGCCAACCTTTCGGCCGTTGTTGTATCCTTGACTTTGGCGCATTGAGACATGGGAAATGTAGAAGTGTACGATCCATCAGTCCCGCGGGATGAAAAAAGGGCGTGGGGAGCGGGAGTCCGATTTCCGAGTACCCGAAGAAAGGAACTTCCTGGGGTGGAAAAGCCGAGCCCGTCTGAGCAATCGACAGAAACCTCCAGCGCCAGCGTAGACACAGACGCGACAAATGCGAATATCCTCTGTATTGACATAAAAGACAGGAGCAGTATTGCCCCAAACACGAAACCATTAGCTGCAGAAAAGATCCCTGGAGTGGATGGCAACCAGAATGTCATCATGAATGGTTCGCCAGGAACTCCCAAGTCACCAACATCACGCAACCAAGACCGGCCGCTCCGAGAACAGTGCCTAGTAATACAGGGACTTCAGGAGCCTCAAGCAGATACACCTAAAGAACGCGTATTAGCTGATCTCGGCTTGTTCCAAGGTCTTCTAAACACACTGCTTCAACCCGACGAAGAAATTTCCGTGTTGAAAGCCTTCAGACTCGGAAAGCGCTCTACTGAACCCGCTATTCCACCGCATCCTAGGCCCCTTAAAATTGTTCTGAGTTGCAAAGAGCATGTTGATCTCATCCTCTCAAGACGTTTTAGGTTAAAATATTCCCACCAAGGAGTTTTTTTCAGCCGGATTACACACCACCGGAGCGGATAAAACGCCGACAGTTAGCTCAGGAGCTAAGGCTGCGACAAACGAATGGCGAACAAGGCCTGGTTATCTACAACAACTGCATAATCGAGCGACCGTCCCGCTTCATATGGACACGGCCCATGCGTATGTCGCCACAGCCGAGACAAGTGGCAAAGGCGGCGTCATAGCCGGCTTACCAAAGGAAAAAAAGCTAAAATGCTTGTATTCCAATGCGCAAAGTCTGCTATCTAAATTAGATGAGCTTAAAATCTACGTTGACCAAACCTTACCCGATGTTATATCCATAACTGAAACGTGGCTGTCCGCGAGCGTAGACGATCGCGAAGTCGCTTTATCTGGTTATCACTTTTTCAGAAAGGACAGGTTGGGACGTCAAGGTGGAGGTGTGCTCGTGTATGTCAAATATGGCCTTTTTGCGTCAGAAAAAGAGGGACAGCTCGCGCGCACAACTGAAACGATTTGGCTCACCGTCAAAACGCCGGGGTCACAACCTCTCGAGATCCTGACGGTCTACCGCCCACCGAGGAACGACCCGCAATCAGACAGTAGTCTACTAGAGGAATTAGAAGCGATTTCCCTCCGACCCAATGTCATGATTATGGGCGACTTTAACGCTCCGAATATCGACTGGAATCTGACTTCTGCCCCGGGCTCAGAATTTAACTTTGATCGCCGCCTCCTAAATTCTGTGCAAAGATCGAATCTCACACAACACGTCTTATCCCCAACCAGACTACGTGAAGGACAACTAGCTAACTGCCTAGACCTTGTATTGACAAACGCACCGGAAAGCGTTGATGTTGTAAACTGTCTACCCCCTCTCGGAAAAAGCGACCATGTAGTCCTACAGTGGGAGTATTCTCTCTTCTCTGTACCCGATCAAAGCATCGTGATTAGACGCAACATATGACGTGGTGAGTTCAACCAAATGCGTCTCGACATGCGTCGTAGAGACTGGAAAGCAGCATTTACGGGGTGTGTCCTCAAGGACTGGCTAGAACTTAAGGCCATACTGAATGAACTTATCACCAGATACTGCCCTTTGTCGAAAAAGAAAATCACCAGCAGGCCCCGATGGCTTAAGCGTTCACTAAAAGTTGAAGTAAACCGTAAGCAAAAGCTGTGGAAAGCATATCTTAGGGACAAGACAACTGAATCAAGAAATAGGTATAAGGCTCAGCGGAATAGGGTAAAGTGCCTTGTTTACAAAGCCCGCCAAGACTTCGAGGGTAATCTTTTAAACTGTGCAGGAGAAAACCCAAAGCTTTTCTTTAACTACATAAGACAACGTACTCGCAACAGGGATCCCATCCCTATGCTAAAAACTGATGATGGCGTTGAACTTTACAAGGACGACGAAAAGGCTGAACATCTGTCCAGGTTCTTTCAGTCGGTCCTTACGAGAGAAGTCGCTGTACCCACTGATCACTGTAATGTGGACAATGTCCCGACAATTGACTCAGTGGTTCTCACAAAACATATTGTTCAACAGGAATTACTGAAGCTAAAAGAAGGGACTTCACCCGGTCCTGACGAAATACCGGCAAAGTTGTTGAAGGAACTAGCCACAGAATTGGCAGAACCTCTGAGCGTCCTCTTCCAAGCCTCTCTTGATGCAGGCAGACTGCCTCCTGAGTGGAAGACTGCGTGGATTTCACCGATTCATAAAAATGGCAGTCGCGCTTCCGCAAACAACTACCGACCAGTAAGCCTCACCTCCATATGCTGCAAAGTTATGGAGCGAATAATCAAACGCGAACTGATGCGGTTTTTAGAGCAAAATCACCTTCTGTGCGATGCACAGCACGGTTTCCGCAGAGGGAGGTCCTGCTTAACCAATCTACTCTACTGTCTTGAACAGTGGACCCGAGCGATTGATGAAGGAAACGTTGTGCATGTGGCCTACATAGACTTCAAGAAGGCATTTGACAGCGTGCCACACCAACGTCTCCTACACAAGCTCAGCCGCATAGGGGTAAGAGGCAAGCTTTTGAAGTGGATTGAAAACTTTTTGGTCGGTCGGTCCCAGACTGTTCGTCTTGGTGGCCAGCACTCGGCAGAGGTGACGGTTACGAGCGGAGTACCTCAGGGCTCCGTTCTTGGCCCTATCCTCTTCCTCATCTATATTGATGACTGTATCCATGGATTGGACTGCAAGATTGCCATGTTTGCTGACGATATAAAGCTTTGGACCGTCATCCGCAACGAGGACGATGAAGCAAATTTACAGGCAAACTTAGACTGACTCGAAAAATGGTCAGGCCACTGGCTCCTCCCATTTAATGTTACCAAATGCAACATTCTGAGGATTGGCAGAACCAGCTCTGCGCACCGGCAGACGTACTGTCTAAATCGCACACCGCTGCCACTGTTAGAGGTTCAGAAAGACCTAGGGGTGTGGATAACATCTTCACTAAAGCCATCATTCCACTGCTTGAAAGCAGCGAAATCCGCAATGTCCAGCTTATATCTCATCAAGCGGGCATTTGCCAAGTTCGATGAAGAGTGCTTCCGCAAGGTCTTTGGGATGTTTGTGCGCCCACAGTTAGAATTTGCCATTTAGGCCTGGAGACCCTGGACTGTTAAGGATCGTACCACCCTCGAAAAAGTCCAACGACGGACAACCAGGCTTGTCAGAGGTCATAAAAATCTACCTTACGAAACCAGACTTTCAAATCTTAACCTCTTTCCCCTGGACTACAGACAACTCCGTGGCGACTTAATTCAAGCGTTTAGAATGTTACGGGGTCAGGACTACTGCCTCGCATCCGGCGACTTCTTTGAGATGGCCACCACTACTAGCTTGAGAGGACACCCTCTGAATCTACGTGTGACAGGAGCGAGACTGGACGCAAGAAGGTCCTTCTTCAGCCACAGAGTGGTAAAGGCATGGAACGCCCTACCTGTGGATGTCGTCATGTCCTCATCCGTGGACTCATTTAAGAGAAAGCTTGACCAGTACAGGGATATGTACCTCCACAGCATCAGAAACTAACGAACCCCCCCCCTGTGCCACCCGTCCCATTCAACGTTTTATGTTACAAAGCATGCTACTCCCTATATTTTAGTAACATTACGTTTTACAATTTTCGCTATCTCCTGACCGACACATATGCGCTTGCTTTGATATTACTTGGTCCATTCATTGCCGTACTGGATATTGTACAATCTTGACACAGAAGGCATTAACAGACAAATTCATACCAGTGACCAATGCTTGTTGTATGTAATTACTTACCTAATTTTTTTAACACTCGCCTTACACATCGTTTTTTTATGACGTTATTGTAACCAAAAGGGAGTTCAAAGGCGTTCGCCTACTTTTCCCTTTATAAATCTGATCTGATCTCGTTACAGTTGGCATTTCCATCGGTGCAAATGACAAGGTCTAACGTGTGGTACGCGATGAGGAGGGCGCGAGGCAGCGCAGCATCTGCCGTACGCTCACCTGGGCCTTGTGAGGAAACAGAGCCGAGACTCAGAAGACGAAGATGCGACCACTTAAACAAGAAATTTATTGGCTTGACGTTTCGGAGTCTCACTCGAACCCATCATCAGAGATAGTCGCAAATTCGGACAGTGCTAGCATAAGGAGGGCAGTATTTATATAACGTAGCTTCCGTGGGACCATAAGCGTTGGAGTGGCTGGTTTTCGACACAACAGACCGAAATCTTGGACTCGGTATGTAGAGGATACCTTCGTTGACATCGGACGGGATCAGGTATTGACATTCAAAGAATTTCTCAAAGCCGTCTTCCTGGACATTCAATTTACTATGGAGGAGGACAACAACAACCAGCTGGTCCTTCTGGATGTCCTCATCTGCCGCAAAGATTGTGATGGTTTAAAAACCGAAGGAAATCGACAAATGCGACGCAAATGCTGAAATTTGGCAGCGGCCACCCGATCAGTCACAGGCGCGGTTGCGTAACGGCGCTATACGGGCGCATTGATACGTATAGCAGTGAAACGGAAGAAAAGGTTGCTGAATTACAATATCTTCGACGGGAAATGAGAGTTAATGGCTACCCGCGCAACTTCGTTAACTATTGCATACGAAAATGACACCAGAGACCAAATCCAACCGGTCCCAAATTTTGGCGCGCTCTTCCGTACATGAAGAACGTCTCCGAAGCCGTCAATCGTCTTTTCACTCCACTTGGAGTTGGGGTTGCACACAGGCCGGAAGCAACCATCAGGCGCCAAGTTATAAGGCCCAAAGAACCAACTTCACCGCAGGAAACGTCAGAAGTCGTTTACCGGATCTGGTGCAGTGATGGACAAAGCAACAACGTCGGAGAAGCTGGGAGATTACATCGGACAGGAATGACTGAGGACGCAGCAGCGCTGAGGCGGAGAGACGTTAACTCTCAGGTGGCGGCACACTCGACGGGACCCGGCCATATTTTCAAATATAAAGAGGCCAAAATCCTCGCCAGGGGTGACAACCGCGTGAGTCGCGAGCTGCTCGAGTCATGGTTCTCAGGCCCGTAATCCATCAACAGGCGCAATGACCTTCCGGTATCATATTAGCTGCTGTGGCATTCCCTGAGCAGGTGAATTAGTCATGTGGATAGGGCGCGGCCGAGTAAGAATCCCAGTGACAGCGGGCCGAATTGCCCAGCAATTCTCACGTCAACATCCAAGACGGATGATGAAATCGCGACAATAAACGATTTGGACGCGCACTAACAAGCCATCATCGATCAGTTACGACCCCTAGCGGTGACCGCGAGAGCTGGTAATTATAGTACGCACATGGCTCCATGGCAGCTACGTACTATAAAAACTGTAATCTTTGTGCCTTATTACCCTTATTTGCGACCGTCTCTGATGATGGATTCGAGTGAGAATCCGAGATGTCAGGTCAATAAACTTCTGGCTCCGGTGATCTCATCTTCGTCGTCTGAACTGCTTCCTGGAACTCACCTGTTCGCTTCTATCGGCAGAACCAAGACTACTGGAGGGAAGATCGAACTCGGTCTGCGCGTGCCAGACAGGACCCTGTCTGTGCGCAATGCATCTGCTTTTCACAGAAGGCGGGACACACAGTATTGACCACGCGGACCGAGTTATCCAGTCCGTTTTTCAGCCTTCGAAACCATGACTTTTTAAAGCATTGTGATAGATTCAAGCGATGTCCATAATGTGCTGGAGCATAGTCCACCATTTGCGTGCCGTTAGACTTTTAAATTGCCTTTTCTACTCATTTGCCTGTTCGCTTCTGCACTTTATGCTTACATTTTTGCATTGCCATATTTGCCTTGCTTAATTTCCGAGGAAATTAATGCGCGAACTTGGAGTAACTCTTTCGAAACAGGCCTTTTCAGGCACGGTCCGAAATTTGATATGAATACCTGTGTTGTTAGTACGGTAAATTATTGCACAATTGCCATATTTGGATTAGCATATGCGCTGCCTTCAGTATATCGATCGCCATTTTGCCTCCTGTCGCTGATGGCACCGTTGGGACCGGCCGGTTTATTTGAGACGTCAAATGACAAACTACTGTCTCAGTCATCGTTTCTTTGCGGTGGGAGTGCCAGGATAATGCATTAGATAATTTATTGAGTAAGCTCTTAGGAGGAAGGGTATCGCAAATTGACTCTCACCGCTTAGTATATCCACAAGCACGAGTAACTGGTTACTAAAATAAAACTAGTAGCTTTTTTGCCTTGTTTTAATTTGTAGACCTGGTAGGCTGTACATCATTTACTGACTGTGCCAAAGTTTGCGGTTCTGGTTAACGTAGTAAGAATCTAAAAATCAAGAAGAACATGCTGAGACAGATTTGTTCCAGCGAACTACTTCGTGTCCCAAAAAACGTGTGCGTGAGGACACCAGCTACCTAATAGGCCCGTAGTGTGAGTCAGACCAAAGAGACTGTCGAGTGTCCTCAAACCTTTTAAACACATGCATCGTAACTTAGAGGCGAAATATACGGAGCGGAAGTGGTCGATCGACAGTTCGATCACGCTTGCGTGTGCGCTCGCATTTTAGTGATCGACAACGAATAAAAGTGATTCAAGAAATCGCTTCTTGTTCTTCTTCGAGAGGAATAAAATGGGGCGCGCGTTAATTATGATTGCTAAAGTGCATTTGCCACTACCTGTTAGTGAATATCGGTCAAACTCATCCTTAGATAAGCGTTCCAAACGTTATCTTAACCGAAGGGTTTTTTAATCAGAATTCGTAATTCCAAAGGGGGGTAGCTCGAGCTATGACTTACGTAAGTGCCACTTTTATTTATGAGATATCTTCCTATGCTGGACCGTAGAAGTCGGCAAACTTTATTAGGAAATGACAGTAATTTGACTGCATGTTGGGCATTTACACTCAGGGTAATATACAGAAAATGAATAAAAGGCGAAGCCCGACAATTATGGGGCAGTTTAACTGCATCCGGAGTTCACAGCCTTCCAACGGGGTGATAAACGGTAGCTTGACATGAATATAATTACAGAAAGAAGTGTTTGTTGGGCTGGGGCGAGACTAAAATGGTTTCTGTCCGATCAGCGAGAGCGAGAACATAAAACGGGAACGAGGACGTTCCGAAAAATTAGTCAGGGCTGGGTTCTGTTTTGCGTCGGCGCCACCAGTAAACCACTGGTCTGCAGGTTGATCTGAAAAGTAGATATATATATATATATATATTGGAAAAAATCGATTTTTGTCCAACCAATTTTTATCTCTGCTTAGCTAGTCGGATGCAGTTAAACAAACTCCAAGAATACTACAGTTCATCAGATTTACAATTTTTGCATAAAAGTAACACTCCGATATTGTGAATAAGATTACTGCATGTTCCTGGTTGCCATCCTACATGTGATGTTTTTGCTTTAGGTTATGCAATTCCTAATTCCTCGAATAACTGAAAACTGCGCATGATGACCTGAATATTATGTTGGTTAATGACCGACAGAGGGATCTGAGGAAAAACATTGAGATTTTACTTAATTACTTCACACTGGGCTTGATCATTTGACATCATATAAGTGGCCACTCCAATTGACGCAGGTTCAGACGTTTCTCGAGAGATTTTGTTGATAGGGTATTTTTGCCGACAAAGGCAAGGGGGATAGGAATGGTCACCTGTGGTTTACTAGTTCTTACCAGATAGCCATGCCCAACCCCGAGGCGTGCGACCTGTTGGTCAGAAGTTCAATGCCCCTGACCACGGAGTCAGGGGTTCGTTGTCCAATCGGTTGCGACCGGATACATGGTGGAGTCTTAAAGAAGGAGAC